ACTTCGGAATAAAGCGCGGTCAGGTAAGAAAGATCCCCGGGCAGCAGCTCCCTGGGGCAGGGCGGGGAGGGAAGGTCCTGGGGGTACTTCAGAGCCCACGGGGACAGAAAAGGTGACTCTGAAACGTGAAAGCTGTTGCGGGTTTGGTACGGGGGTGTGTGAGCTGAGCAGAATTGTTTCAAGGAGTTAATTGAACCAGCTGGTGACAGCCACCCGCGGTCAGGTAAGAAAGATCCCCGGGCAGCAGCTCCCTGGGGCAGGGCGGGGAGGGAAGGTCCTGGGGGTACTTCAGAGCCCACGGGGACAGAAAAGGTGACTCTGAAACGTGAAAGCTGTTGCGGGTTTGGTACGGGGGTGTGTGAGCTGAGCAGAATTGTTTCAAGGAGTTAATTGAACCAGCTGGTGACAGCCACCAGCTGTGACACCAGCCCCACGCGTTGTGACCTCCCCTTGCACTGGGGGGTGGCACTTCCAGGCTGCACCCCCAGCAGAAGTGGGGAGCCCAGTGCCAGCTGTGCCTGTGGGCCTGAGCCCCTGCCAGCACCGGGCAGGGCAGCGCTGCGGGGGACGGGGGACTCGCCACCAGCTTCTGTCCCTGACGAGCTCTGTGTGTTGGCCTCGCAGGTGGTGAAGATCATCAGACCGAGCGAGACCGCGGGGCGTTACATCACCTACAGGCTGGTGCAGTGAGCGGAGCTGCGGGTAAGGGGCGGCACAAACCCTCCAGGTCGGGGCAGACTCAGGCTGTGGCAGAGCTGTGTGACACCTCCTGATCTCCCCATCCACCGGCAATTTCCAGACACTGAGATCCACTTTTTCATAGATGGCCAAAAAAAATCCCTGCACTCATGTTAATTGGCCTAATCCCTTGTTTTCCAGCACGGGCTTTGCTGTCACTCCTTACTCTGTTACGGACTCAAGCCTGGAAGTTCTCTGGAGCAGCAGAAGCGTGTGGGGAAGAAGCTCATGGACAAAGGCTTTTGCTTTCCTATTTTATTTAATAGGATCTTATTTTTAATAAAGGTTTGTACTCTCACTGGTACCGTATTTCTCGGCCTCGGGACTTTGCGAGTTCCCGTGTTTGTCGTTCTGTTGGAGTTTGCTGCTGCTGAGGCTCTGATGGACTCTCTGTCGTGGCTGAGCCCAGGGCTCACCCTGCAGAGCTCTGAGCAGCTCTCGTGTGCAGTGCGGACGAGAACAGCAACACCTCGTTGCTGTTCCACCCTCTGGCCCTTGTTTTGAGACCCTGGTGCTCAGCTATTGCAATTGGAGAGTTGCTGATCACCCCCCATTTAATTTATTTAATTCATTTTAATCTGTTCTAGGTCTCTTGAGGATTTTTAAACTTAAGTTTACTTGCTGGAAAGACTCAGAGTATTTCTTTACAGTGCTGAGCCTCCTGCAGCCATGGGCGTGTGTGTCTGGAAGCCCTGATCCCCAGGCCAGAGGCGGGTTGGAACACGCTGATTTTATTTGTGATTTCTGGAAGCACATCAGTGTGAACCCAGCGAACACGTAACGCAGCTTCGTACGGCAGCGCGGGCGCGTTGCGACAGACACGCTGTGGTTCATCCACACGCGTTTCACACACACCTCGAAGGGTTCCTGCCACCGTGTGAAGCTCAAGCGCAGCGTTTGTCCCTTCCCTCACCCGCATTCACCCACCATCCATCCTCACAAACACAAAACCTGGTACCGCCCGTGGTAGCAGCGCTGGGAGCAAGAGGGGACACTCGGCCCCGTCCCTCTTGTCACCGTGGAAATGACCTGCTGGAAAAATCCAACCGTCTTGCGGAAGAGCTGCGGAGCAGAATGTCTCACGGGTGTCTCCAGCTCTTCCTTGGCTCAGTCATCAACCATTTAGCTGTAAATTAACTTTGGTTTTTTGTACCTTTAACCTACAATGCTGAGATGCGTTTCCAACAGCCTCGGAGAGCTCTGGGAACCGTCAACCCCGGTTCTCCCCGTGCGGGAGACACGAGACGAGATCCCCCTCCAAGGGATCACACTGGTTGATTGCCCCGTTCTCCAGTAACGAGGTGCCTGTGACCCCCCAAACTGTTCAGTGTCTCTTCAGCTGGACCCTCACTCCCCCTCCGCTCGCTGGGCTTCCTGGGCCGGGATCAGCCCCGACCTTCCCCCTCGCTGTCCCTCGTCAGACCTGGGGCGCTGAGGCTGACGCCCGAGCAGAGCGAGCGGCGATCTGGTGTCCAGCACCTCGCTGAGGAGGGGTCGGGTTCATTGTTAGAAAACAACTTTGGGTTTGTGCAATTTCTCAGGCACCCTGGGCTGCGAGACGCCCGTCTGTGAGGTGCCAGCACGTCTGTCCCCAGCTGGGGCTCTTGGTCTTGGCTCACCACACACCCGCCTGGAGCGGGGTCTGTTGGCACGGCTCGGTGGTGACGGCAGGAGCGCAGCCCAGGTACAAGCAGGGTAACAGAAGGAAACAGCTTTCAGCTCGGTCTAAGCTTAAAATCTACTTGTTTCTCTATGCTTCAGTGCAGAAAATTCCCATAGCTTTAAAAAAAAAAATACAAAAAAAACCAAAAACTTTGGCTGGTCTTGTTTTAACCCTTTAAGTGCCTTTGCCAGCAGAGGTAGTGGATTCGTGGTGAAGGGTCATCTCTTTAGGAAAAAAAAAAGGAAAAAAGGAAAAAAAAAAAAAGCCTCTTCCACTGGCAGGGGCTGTGACTCGATTCAGGCCGTGGTGGCCCCGAGGAAACATCTCCCCAGTGACCTGTTTGCTGCCCAGCTCCCTCTGGGGCCGGCTGGAACAGCAGAGCTGTAGTCCTGGACTTGCAGCTTAGATTTTTGGAGACCAAATTGTCTATTAAAAGAAAACCAAACAAACAAAACCCCTGAGAGATCACGCAATGCTCAGGACCCTGCAGCCAGGGACACCTGTCCCCTGAGCTTGCTTGCAGCCTGCGGTTGCTCTTTGTGTGGCTCCTGCCAAGCAGAAAAATGCCCATCAGTGGCATCAGCCACTGTGCCCATCAGTGCCCATCAGTGGAAGCAGCGACGCAGAGCTCGTCCGCAGAACCGGGAGGG